ATCGATTCGAGCTAGTAATGCACCTTTTGCATGTCGAAAGAATTAAAGTCCAACTCGCAATCCAGGCTTAAATCCTAAAAGAAGATCAAAAAGACGAGTGCGTTAATGGACCGCTCCTTTGATGTACCGCTTTGTTCTTCCAGAAAATCAATAGCGCAAGCATCAAGGTGTGTCAAACTTTCAAACTTGTGTGATGTATGATGGAGATTTGTAGTGAAGTGGCTATATTAGAAGTACCAATAAAAATATACTGATCTATAATAGATAAGGAAAACATATCTTGTCGAGGTTGACTTGATACCTTCATACCGTTCAAGAGTTCCGGACAAATGACGATAAATATTTAAAACTGAGAAAAAACGGTAGCAGGATCAGACAGGAGAGTACTTACTGTTGTACTTCCATCCATTTAAGTCGCAGCACACGTCATCGCTGGTGCATTTTCCATTTTTTAGGCTTATACTGTTCAGGATTTTATCTATTTTTCAGTATATATTATGTATATTGGAAGTATTGCTTATAGAAAAAGATTTTCCCTCCGTTTTAGTTGTAACGTATCTTCGCGGGCCTTGAGAGAATGTGCAGTGATTCAAGGCTCGCTATGTTGTTTGAAATTATTAGGCAAGGTATGAAATTTTTTGGGTAATCGATTTTTCTTTTAATGTTGTGCAACGAACTTCACAGGAAGTGTGTAGATAATATATATACATATATATATATATATTCTATATATATATATATATATATTCTATTTATTCATAAGCCGAGGCATAGGACATTCCTAAAGAGAAGTATACTAGCTAGCTAAAATGAATTATAAAAGAAATATATACTAAGTGACATATAAATCCGAACACCCAGTTTGAATGGTTTTATTTGCCTAGGCATGCTTCTGATCAGGTGGTCAATGTCCTCCTGTGGTATCTCATTCCAGGCAACCACCAACTCCTCTCGAATTGAGCAATCTCCTACCCATCATATCCCACACGTGCTCAATTGGGGATAAGTCGGGAGATCTTGGTGGCCATGGTAACAATGTGACATCATTATGTTGAAAGAAGTCTATTGTGACTCTTGCAACATGTGGTCGGGCATTATCTTGTAGGAAAGTTGGATCTGCCAGGGTGTCAAGATAGGGTAAAAGATGGGGTTCTAGAACTTCGTGGATATAACGCTGCGCGTTCATGTTACCTCTGATGAAGATTAAAGGTGACCTGGAACCATAAGCTATAGCACCCCAAACCATAACTCCAACAGTGTGATGAACATGTCTTTCAACAAAAAACTGTGGATTCCTCCTTTCTCCTTTCACCACGTCGCCTTCTAACCCTGGCACGACCATCGTGCATGCCTAAACAAAATCGAGACTCGTCACTAAAGACAATACTGTTCCATTCCTGATCCCAGAGTGACCGTTGTCTGCACCACTCACGGCGATTACGTCGGTGTTCTCGAGTTAAAGGGAGGACCCAGTGTGGCCGGTATGAAAACAAGCCAAAACTACTCGTTCGTCGGTAAACACTTCGCATGCCAATAGGTCTTCCGTGTTCTGCAAACCATTCATTTGCAATGGACCTGGTAGTGGAGAAACGGTCCCTTAAGGCCAATAATCTTAGGCGGCGATCTTCACGGTCTGTTGTTCTACGGCGGCGACCAGTGCCCCTTGCTCTTTGCGTACGGCATTCTTGAAGCCATGCCTGACAACACCTAACCACAGTGTCTACACTTCTTTGCACTCTAACTGCAATTGCCCGAAAAGAAAGTCCAGCTTCACGAAGTCCCACTATACGACCGCTATCAAACCCACTAAGTTGACGAAATCGTACAGGTCTCCGTACTCTAGGCATCGTAACCGATCGTAAAGGATGTCAAGAACCAAAATCCGCCAACGTTGATTCTTTACTGCGGCTGAAATGTTCATTTTTAGAGCGTCAGTGAATTAGAAAAAAGCAGTATAAAAACCGGAATGTCCAACTGATAAGGCTGAAAATTTTTTCCCTTGTTATTTACAGTAAGATAAATACATTCACCAACTTTTATTAAAATAAAACCATTTAAACTGGGTGTTCGGATTTATATGTCACTTAGTATACAATTACAAAGGTTTTTATGAACTACTAAGAATTCATGTGCCTGCACAATCATAAACAAGAACAATATATTTATATACAACAATTTTCCAAAGAGTCAACGTTATCAATAAAATTATATATAAGAGCAATAATGATATAATACCCTGCAGTATAAAATATTCTAAATTAACTAATAGAGTAAGTCTATCCTTATTTTAAAAAAAAATCATTCAACGAGTAAAATGCCTTAGAGATTAAATAATTAGCGAGAATCTTTTTAAGTTTGATTTCCGGTAAAATAACGTACATTTGAATGAAAACTATTGATTTTTTTAACAGTATATAGAGCATTTTTCTGTATAAGACTAAGTTACACTCATCTGGGATAAGATCCTCTTTATGCCTAGTCATGTTATTATGTTTATTTATAGCATCGTCAAGCAGATCTCTGTTTTTAAAAACAAACATAAAAGCGTCCAATATATAAAGAGAAACAACAGAATTTTTTTACTGGTGAAGATTTCTTTGCAACTTTCCATTTGTTTGATTTAAGTAGGGTCCTTACGATTTTTTTTTAAGAATCAAAGATCTGTTTATATCCCGCGAGCTGCCCCAGATCAGACCATATCTAATCCTATACTGATCAAACGCGTGGTATGCCGATACGGCAGCGTCGAGACCAACATCATTCTTAATCACTATCAATGCATAGCAATACCTAGAGACACCCAATGCTACATCCCCAACGCGCGCCCCCAAGTCCGGTCGCCTATCAATCCTAAAACTCAGAAAATAAATGCTTTCTGCTGTCCCAGTATCTGTATTTTTATAAGAAAAATAGAGGGCAGTATCCGCTCTATTTCCAAATAAAATACACTAGATTTTTGCCACATTAAGGAAGAGATCATGTGCAGAAAAATACCATTCAAATACGCCACCGGCACTCTGAACACCGGCCAACATCATATCATGATTTTCTTTACTAAAAATTAATGTTGTACCATCAGCATAAAGAATGGTCTCCTCACCCGTTACCCCAGAAAATTCACTGGTGTAGAGCATACAGGGTCTGAAGTTAGTAGTAGATCAACGGGAGTCAGGTGATAGAGGACCTCAAAACCTATTGAATGAAGCCCTATATGTGTGGTCCAAAATTTTATAGTTCAGGAGATAATTGCAATTTTGTGAAATTTCGAAAAAAACGGGATAATGAACTTTCGATTGCAATTACAACTAAACCATTAGGTTTAGGGCTGTGATTTTTTTCTGCGTTGAGCTAAATGGTTAGTTTTAGCAACGGTTATGTCACTTTTTAACAGAGCTTATTAGAAATCAACGCAAAAAATCTTGAGTTTATTTTATATATAACCGTTGCTAAAACTAACCATTTAGCTCATCTCAGAAAAAAATCAAAGCCCTAAGCCTAATGGTTTAGTTGTAATTGAGATTGAAACTTCATTATCGCGTTTTTTTTTTAAATTCACTAAATTGCAAATATCTCCTGAACTATAAAATTTCGGACCACACAAATATTCATTCGATATATTTTGAGGCCGTGTATCACCTGAATTCCGTTGATCCACTACTAACTTTACACCCTGTATACAGTAATGCTCCAAGGATAGAACCCTGAGGAGCACCCTTGGCGACTTTTATTTGTTCAGAAGCAATAAGCCTACCCCGGGAATCATTTTCAACAACCTGTTGTGTACGGTTTTGTAAATAGGATTTAATAAGGTTCAAACCACCTCTAATTTCAAAATTATCAAGTTTTTCAAAAAGTATTTCGTTATTGACACTGTCAAAAGCTTTTGACTAGTCGATATATACGGCCATTGTTTCATTTTTATCATCCAGTGAGTTTAAAATGCTAACTGTAGATTGATAAATAGCCCATATGGTAGACTTATTTCTTCTGAACCCGTTCTTACATTGAGGAATGCTCTTCCAAAAAATTTATAAATGTACTTATATCACTTTTCAAAAAAATGTTCCTCCCTATGTTTGAGAGAAGAGCTATTGGTCTGGAATTTTTCTCATCCACTTCACCTTTTTTATAAATAGCTTTTACTAGCGCATTTTTTAGATGATCTGGAAAAGTTCCATTTGTGAAACAGAAATTAATAACAAAAGATAGAGGCTGTGCGATATATACGGTTGCATATTTTAGACAGTCCTAATATCCTTAAATAATTTGTGGGTGTTCCTTCACTCTAAACCATGTTTCTCTATGCCCATTTTTGTATTGATTTTGCAACTGAGACATATTTTTCGTTAATTTTGCCAATTGTTGCAAGAACGAATAATTACTCACTAATGACTCATTTATGCATTTTCTCAGAAATATGTTAAGTATACAGGGTGTTCCTTAATGATATGCGAATATTTAAGGGTACGAATCTACATGAAAAAATAATGTTAGTTTGCTTTATAAGCTATGGTCCAAAAATTTTTTATTTTTTTACTCAAAAATGGCGAATCGCAGGAAAACAATCCAAGAGTGATTGTTTGTTTCAAATTGAACGGGGAATTCAAAAATAATTTTTATTTGGCAAAAAACCATTGCCGTAGCATTTTTTTTAAATATCGAAGCCAATACCCGTACGCACGCCACTGTTAAAGCTAAAAATTATTTTTGCATTGGAAAATATGCAACTTTATTAAATTTCACTACGTACTAAATAACAGTGAAATATTTGAAGCGGTTCTGAAAATATTAATTAATTTCCTTTTTTTCCCCAAAACTTCAACACCCCGAGGTTTTGTAAGGAAACATTTTGGACCACAGTTTATAGAGCAAACTAACATTAATTTTTCATGTAGATTCACTCCCTTAAATATTCGCATATCATTAAGGAACACCCTGTATATTTGTCAAAGAATGTAAGGTTTGATAAGGTCGCCTCCATATGATCAATGGCAGTAGTAATGACAGCTGTTGAAGTATTTAATGTTGAGATTTCTAAATTATATTATTTTCTACTAAGTGATATTATTATAAAGCGCTTCTGTAGAATATACAACACAACATTATTAATTACGGTGAGTCTTTATTATGATTATAAGTGATATTAACATTTTTCACCCCTGCTTGTAAAGATAATGGATTTCTGAGTGAAATTCTTTTAGATTCTGTTAAAGAACACGAAAATCTACCCGTTTCGGAAAAATAAAACTTTTATCGTGGAGCTCTAACTTTAACGAATATACACATGTATGACTAAAAATCAATTCCATGTTGCGCAACAACACGTCGTTGTAAATACTGGAATTTCCGATACAAAGCTGTCTACTCCGCCGACACGCCACAGAACATAATATTCGCTGTGAACTCTCAACCACAAAATGGAAGCCTGAAAAACAAAAAGTAAACATGCAACGCAGCAGTCACAGCTGACATAATGATTTTCCGTTAAACAATGAAAAAGTACCATTAACGAAATATCCGCGTCCCGTGCCGTTCGAATAACATGTCATGGCATGCTTCTATTTTGTGCTTTGCTATGGCGCATATTAATTTCAGCTGCCTGTTATCGACAGTTTTGCTAGTTGATGTATGTAAAGCGATATAAACGGCTTATTAGTCAGGGTGATGGAAACATCGATTATCAAAAATTGACGGGCTTGGGGCAATAAGGCATCTAAGCCACAATTGAATGAAAAACCACATTTCCATCTAAAGACACTCGTTCCATAGGTGTCTATGTTCGAGGTTGATTTTTTGACAATTCGCTGATAGATGTCGCTATCGTTTCTGAATGGCATTTTTAAACATTCACCCCGCATTTTTACGCCAAGGAAGCTATAAGTAATTTACTTACTTACTGTTAAGGCGGCTCCGACGCAGTGAGTTTCAAGCCATTTACAAGGGTTCAGCTGCTTCAAAACTGACACTCGATTTCTCAATATTTTTGAATGAAATTCATACAGTATGTTGAGAAGATAATTGCCCAGGCTGCTACAGGAGCACTTCTTGAAATTTTTTTCAACTTCGCGATTTTTTTAAAAAGAACCTAGTGAAAAAAATGTGGGGTTTTATTCTCAGCACTCTGTGAAAATTTCATCCAAAAAATATCAAAAAATAAAGCGTCAATTTTGAAAATTCAATTTAGGAGGAATTTTATCTACTGTTTCGTGCTGCCAAACCAAGCGTTGCGGCGCAATGTACGGAATAAGAAAGGACGTATTCAGATAACTTGGTGGCCCTATTTCATATAATATCGCGTAGATAAGTCGTTCTGCAAATAGGTACTCATAATCGCTCGCGATCGCTGATACTCCTCGATTTTAAACCCGCTTTACTTCCCACGTCATTGTCGAGGAAATATTGTAATCGCGAAAAATTTCTAAAATGAGATGTTATGTTTTTTTAAGTCATATGATATCTACATCACGAAAAACTGTATCACTCATCATCAACTTGGAAATTACCGCTCGGATTTTAATGAAATTTCCACACGCGGTTACTAGTGTGCCAAAGCTTTGTAGTTTTAGTCCAGTGGCAAGGGTGCCATAGGCAAAAAAGAAACAGTAACAATTGCTGAAACTCCGTTTTTGACGTTTCAGGGGTTCGTAATCATTGACATAAAAAATTGTACTGCTTCTGATCCCAGCGATTACAGGAAATTCAAGTATCGAAGATCCGACGAATAATGTGCTCACGATTTCAAAAAATCGGTACCTGCTCTATAGGTTTGACACCAACAGCCAACAGATCTGCAACTACCTACAGTAGGGAAGAATAAATTCGAATATCATTCCAGTCAAGTATAGGGGAATTTAGCGTGGAACTTTAAAATTATCGATATGTCAAGGAAATATGTTTTTGAGAAGGATCATTTGGTAGATTTTATACCTGCAGTTTCATTTGAATGTCATAACCCGTGAAATGTACCCATTTCGCCGTTACCTTTTGTGTTCTGCAGTTTGTGATATTTTTCTGGATATAAGCACGCCATAATTGCCTAGGGTGCTATCAGAGCTTTTTACAAAATTTCGTCTTTGCGCAAGAATTATGGTGGGTTGAAATGCTCACTATTTGTGTCCAACTTCATGATATTTTAAGAAGATCCTAGTGGATAAAATCGAAAAAGGGGATCGCTGGCACCCTGTGGACTTTGCTTTTGGCACGCTGGAAGACTTTCATTTGGAAATACTCGTAATACAAAGTAAGCTGTGAAGTGCAAATCGGTTTTTGGGCGAAATTCATCTACTGTTTCGTCCTGCCAGTCCAAGCGACGGTGCGTTCCGACTAAGAAAAAATGTATTCAAATAATTTTATATCTTTCCTAAAATAAATTCAAGAACTCATATTCAAATTCGTTTATTCATGTCAATAAACATAATTATGTTTACAACGGTCGTGTGGTAGATGGTAACAATTGAACGAGGGTCATAAAAATATCTCATGCCGTCAAAATAAGAGGAAACAGGTAGTTTGTGCAAAGCAGGTAGGCTTATACCTGGATGAAGTACATGTCTTGTCTACTAATAGGTAGATGGAGCTGATGCTGACAGAGATGGATGTTTGCGATCAATAAACAAACCACAAGATTGAACTGCCGTGTCCAATGATTTTTGTATTGCCTTTTTTTATTGCCTTACTAGAAAACTCTGTTGGGTATATGATCGAGTTTACTAGAACTTTACAGTTTGTTGTCTGCCTTCTTCTACAAACTTCACCAAATCGAGACGCTATCAACCTTATCCTCCGATGAAGACGCCACAAAGCACAGTCCTGTGATTTGGTGACTTGCTCGATATGCAAAATCTCGTCGTCACTTTTTCTAAGTTTCCCTAAAAATTCTTGCTTAGCAACCTCCAAATCAATGTCGTTCATGTCAGGTTTTTGACAGAATTCGCCATAAAACTATTATATGTTTTCTTTGGAATTGCTATCCGAATTGTTAGTTATTTTTATATCAACTTTTTTTGGTCTGAGTTTCTTTCCAAGATTCCTGCGTTTGAGTCTTTGTTCCATCTTAGTGATAAGCGAGGTTGGACTAAGCTTAGAACGCAAATGTATTTGGACCATATAGACAGGCCTCTCGGTATTGTGGCTCACTACAGCTGCAGCACATCTTCCATGGTATGACGTCTTCTTGCAATAATGTATTCGCTTACCCCACTGTATTTTGCAATTATAGAGTTGAATTGCTCCACACTATTATTGTCCTAATCATGAATTAAACTCACTGAATTCGTAATTAAAATTGTCGCATATGACCTTTTATTGTCCATTATCAACCTTGATAAAAAATTCACTCAAGAACAATCGCACCAACAAGAGTACAACACAACAATTCAACAACACAATATCGACGAACAGTAACAAGGGTAGAACAATACTAAATGATCACTAGCTGAGTACCAAAATAGAAAACGACTTACAGGCTAGATCGCTAATTGAAATCCGACTCTGTTATTATAAAAATTTACCTGGGTAGGCAGCCGTAGTCATCCTTTCCTCCTTTAAAGTAGCGCCGACCACCGTCTAAGACCACCCCACAATCGTTTCCTTTTCACCCCCCGTTACCTCAGCAGATGGTGCTCGTGATTGTAGGAGCCCCGTTAACAAGAAGATGTCGCGCATTCTACTGGGCGGTAGGACGACAGAGCTTATAGTAAGTAAATTGACTCTACTCGATGATAAGAAAAAGCATTATGTAGTTTTATTTATGCCCTTGGAGAATGTATCGAGCAGAATTTTCTACAGCAACAGTGAGCCACTATTATCTTCAATAAAATGCTCAGTAATGGCGTTCTGTGAATCTATCTTGCATTCCAGGATCGGACGGCAATTAGTCGATCATTTCAATGGTATATAACAAAGATGGTTATGGATTTAGCTCAGATGCCAGTGTGAACGATAGACAGATTTCTAACCATCTATCTATCAGAACATATCATTATTTCTATTAAGAATCACTATCGGAGACTTTTTTTTTTGCTTTAGGACCAGGCCATGCAGCCAGAAACTAGGTGATCCAATCTTGGATATGTCTAATGGTGGACAAGCACACGACGTCACAACATCCATGGCGAAGGCGAGATCCGAACTCGCGGCCCGGCCGGCCGGCTGATCAGTAGCACGACAGTCTGACCCACGCGGCCAACCGAGGTCCCCTATCGGAGACTTAAAATAACTAATATGTATCAATAAGATGTTTGGTGATGAGTGGTTTACTTATATCTTTCTTGACCAAATAAATTTGAATATGTGGCTTGTGACCATCGAATTATGAGACTAGAAGGACCAGGCCCATATGTTTACATTGCATTATTTGTCACCAAAATTGCGCATTTTAGTCTATACTTTTGTCTACCAGTGACTACCAAAGTGACAGCGATGTAACAGCATAATAATACTTAAATCAAAACATGACGCCTTCAGCCGTCTGACCAAAAGAACAGCCATCCATGAACATGTGCTTCGTGCTTCTTGGCTACTCATCAGCATGTTCTAAACTTGGTCTGCTTTCTCTGGACAATCGAAAGCGCTTTCCGCAGGGGTCGATTCTTGTGTGATAGATCGTCCCAACACAATTATCTGCAAAGACGCGCACTTTCAAAAAAGAACACCAAAACTACGAGTTGAATGACAAAACTGTCAAAAAAATGCCAACAGCACTTCAGACTAGGAGAATAAGTAGACGAATGACTGGCTCCTTCTGCCTAGTCTGAATTCATTTGCTTCAACCTTTCACAGTCTTCAGGAAATCCGAGCATAGCACCGAGCTACAGGCAGTCAGGCTGGTGGAACATGTAACCAGAGGGTTCAACTTCAGCACTGGCATCTTGCTTTTGGATGTCTCAAAAACCTTTGACAAGGTGTGGCACGCGGGCCTCCTTTATAAACTAATCCAAAAGGGTTTTCCTTCTTGGCTTTTAAAATTACTGAAATCCTTTCTTGAAGAAAGGAAGTTCCAGATCAAAATTAACAATGTTTTGTCAACAACACGGCCAGTACGGGCCGGTGTCCTCAGGGTTCGGTCCTAGGACCAATCCTTTATTCGCTTTTTATCCATGATGTCCCTTGACCCAACAACTATGAAGTCTACCTCTATGCTGACGACACTGCACTTGTCGCCCAGTCGTGTACTGGTGATCCGGTTCACGATGTGTTGCCGAGCGCGGTGGAAGAAGTACTAGAGTGGGCGGAACGGTGGCTGATTAAAACTAATCATTCGAAAACGCAGGCTATTTATTGTAAAAAGAACGTCGCGGCCCCCAGCAGAGGTATCTGTAGACGGCAATCGTGTACCATAGACAAATTCTGCCAAGCACCTCGGTGTCACCCGTGATAAAGGCATGACCTGGCAGAAACATACAGCAGCCTTGAAAACAAAATTCCAAATTGCGTTTCGGCAACTATATCCTTTGTTATGTAGATCCTCCAAATTAAGTTTGATAAACAAAGTTCGCCTATATAAAATGATTATTAGACCATCCATTACTTATGCATGTGCGGCTCGATGTTTTCTTGCCAAGACACATATGCAAAGTCTTCTAGTACTGCAAAGTAGAACTTTGCGAACAATTTTCAACGCTCCATAGTATGTCTCAAACGAGACACTACACAGAGACGTTGACATTCCTTACTTGAGCGACGTTATAGTCAAGCGGAATCGCACGGCAACCCTCTGCTGCGCGACTCAGTGGACTACACAGTGGAGCCAGTTCGTAAACATTCAAGGCCACGGCTCGCACTGTAATCAAAAATTAGTGCGAACTTTTAGTACACTTAAAATTACACTCTAACAAAATTGAGTCAATAATTTGTTTAGTTCGCCTCAAAATTAATCCGTGTACCAAGTCAAAAAGGCTAGGTATCTCCTCTTAAACTAAACACTTCTGTTTTTCTTGGCTCTTCTCCATTTTTCTGCTCTTTCCCTTTCTCTTTTTCGTTGACATTGCCTGGTTTCTGGGCAACCAGTACTGACAGATTCGACTAACGTACATTAGACAGTGACTAATGGGCAAAGATTCTACGGACCGCCCAGACAAACAATTGAAGAATAGTAGTAGTCTTCAGGAACATTCATATTTTTCAGAGTAGAGAATGCATGTGACATAACCCTAATGAAAAACAACATTTGGAACCATAACTGCATCGACAAAGAACTTCAACGTAGATAAGGAGAACGTCAAATTTAATGAAGTGTCCATCAATGTTTATGGAACAAACCATTTTTAAATTACCTTTGGAGTAAAACTTATTTTAGTAAGGCAACAAGCCACAAAATTTTCAAAAATGAATTTGTCTTGGAAAATGCGTTATATTTTTCCGATTCTGTTACCACCAAATCTTTGTTTTTCAAAATGTAAAACTATTGTGGCGTTTGATTCGAAATTATGCAAGAAATGTGATTTCACAATTTACATAGAGTTTGTAACTTTAGATTTCTCGAAATAAAGTCAATGCCGCTTTGGTACCTTATTGCTCCAAGCCATTCAATTGAAACATATCGTCATTCAGAGAGCGAAGCATAAACAGTATATAATGAAATGGTAACTGACTCGAGTTTTATCCTGCCCCCAGGGGGCAATTCTTGAGCGTAGTGGTATAGAGTGATCCCAGATCCTAACATATGCGTATCAAATAAGTCTGTCGCGTTTAACACCAGGTGGGCGATTGCAGCAATGGCGAGCGAAAAAAGACTGTTTTGGCTAAAAGCTCTTACGGCCGATTAAAAAATTGTTAATGCCTAACCTCAAAATAGTGGAGGTATTCTTGGGCTCAGTTTCTCCTGCCGCTGATGCAAGCTTCTCGCAATTGTGGGCTCTAAATCCTAATAGGGTGTCACTTAAAGCGTGTATTCAAAGGTGCCATTATGGGAACAGACCCTGGTGGGGGTTGAGGGAGGACCGCAGTGGACTATAGTGACACTACATCACTGATACCTTCTGGTGTGCCTCAAGGCTCTATATTAGGACCTATACTATTTTTGGTTTATAGTTTTTATTTAAACAAAACTGTTAATAACTCTCTTATTCAATTATTTGCATATGATGCTCACTTAATGCATAGTTTTAATCAAGATGAGGTAGCAAATAAAACAAAAACTTTACAAAGCGATGATGACAATTTGATACATTATTCTTCTAATCACAATCTCAAAATAAATCTAGAAAATCCAAAATATTATTGTTCTGTAACGAAAAAAAAATGCTAGTTCTTCTCACTTAAAGATTTCTATAAATAGTCAAGTTTTAGAGTAAAATGAGGTTTATTGAACCTGTGAAGAGTCTGTCCCAAAAAACGTATCTCAGCTTACGTACTCTTATAGCAAATTGATATTTACTGAATCTCATACTTCGCAAGAAAATAATGCGAGAGTTTAGTCATAAATATCTGTCCCAACTTACTGTGATATTTGTGAAATAATTGTGAGAAAATTACCAAATATTGAAGTGGATGAGATTTGAGAATTTAGTAAACTATCACTATTTAATTTTCATACATAAATTGTTGCATACGTCTAAGCCCTTATACCTCAGAGAAAATGTTTTTAGTAAGGATGTGCACACTAGACCGAAAATTATAAGAGTTCCACCGCACAAAACAACAATATATAAACCAAGTTTTTCGTATAATTTAGCTATCTGGTATAATTTAATACCTGAAGTATGTAAGTCATTTTCTTTGTCTACATTCCGCAACAAAATCAAACTGTTTATAAATTCACTATCCTATTTAATCTTATCATTCCTATATTATTTGATGTATTGTAATTTTTGATTTACACATTTTCTGATCTTGCTTTTGTCTGTTTTTTTTCCTAAGATAGGACATACAGGGTGGCGCATCGAAAACGAAACAGACGCATTTGACTGGCAGCTCAGTTTTTTTGGCAAAACGTCCAGACCCGTCGATTTTGTTTTCGAGGGGGACACAAGTTTGGCAAAAAATCAAAAGCATTTACTTGTTAAGTAAATTCTTTTAGTCAAATTTCTTCTGAAAGTAGTACAAACTAATCTGATGTACCGATTAAAGTCTACTTTAAGCTTTAAATCAATAAATCTTCAAAACTACTGAACTGAAGCTCATGTATTTTACATCATTATAAAGGGAATTTTAAAGACCTTTAAAATAAGGTATCACTCGACCCCCCTTTCCATTTAAGATTTTAGGGTTGGTGTCACCCCCGCCCAGGGGGGCTGCACGTGTTAACGTGATTTTTTGCCAAACTTGTGTCCCCCTCGGAAACAAAATCGACAGGTCTGAGCGGTTTTCGAAAAAAAACAAAATGAGCTGCCAGTAAATGCGTCTGTTTCATTTTCGATGCGCTACCCTGTATATTTCTTTATTGTCTTACCAATCGCTAACAGATTGGTTAAATGTAAGAGTAGCGAATGCTAAGCTTGGCCAATCAGTTAGTCTATTTCCAAATAACGATGATTATTATTGTTATTATTATACATCATACCTTTCAGATTTAGGAGGCCATATACAGTCAAATCCATATACAACTGCCGCCGTAATGTGTACGAAAGGGAAGCGTGCAATACGTGTGTTAGAAGGAGAAAGAAGCACCTAGGAAGCCGAGTGACGAGCCCCGGACGCAGCTGCGGTACTCTTTCTAACATACATCTTACACGCTTCCCGCTCCCGTCTTGTACACATTACGACGTCAGTAAAATTTGAAGCTCACCGTAGATAGAAGGACCATACACCCGACGCTACATGGTGCCATCGGCAGCTGGATGCTTTTCTTATTTCATGTTCTGTGCATGTTTTTAAACATTGAGCCTGTACACCAGGAGAACCGGCGATATGAGACGACCTCAAAACTTGACGCCGACTGAGGGCGCAGTGATTGAAGCGACTACCAGCTACTGCGCATGCTCAGGGTTTCTGAGATTATAATACCTGCAGATTAAAGCGAGTAGGCGATTTCAAGAAGCAATAATCATAACTAAACACAACCCTGAGACTGAAAAATAGAGGGTGATTTAGAAATGTGTGGAAGCATTTCTAGGGCAGAAGATAGATCGAAAAAAATCTATAAGCACAGGTCCTATACTATCGTATTTTTTGTGTAATTATACTTTTTTCTGATGGTTGAGTAGAATAGCTTGGAGCTAGATTCTGGCAATTTATTTGAAAAATAGTTCGTCATTTATTAATAAAGCTGGTTAGTGTTATTACATTTCTACGCCACTGATGAGGCTGAATACATTGTTCAAGTAACGATTCTATGACTTATTCACAATTTTAAATGGCAAACTTCACAAGCTTCGGCGTATTTTCAAAGTAGAACGACTTGATGCTTTTTATACCGATTTTCGTCAGATATTCAAGCCCATATTTTTGCAAAAGGAGTACTCTGCTCGATTTATCTACACGACGTCAAATACCGAGGCGCGTTATGTCTCACTTCATCATCGGCTAGATGTCAGGTCCGACAATGTATGAGTTGTATT